TTCGATTTAAACTTACACTCATTGTTTTCTTTAATAATATATGTGAATTTTAACGTTTCTTCTAGCTAAGATGATTTAGGATATCATTAAAATGGAATAGGAAGACAATGAAGAACTTATCATCTTTATTAGTAATCTGCAGTAACCTTCAAAAGAGCAAGTTTTTAGTTATATCATTAAGTATGACTTCTTCGTGAAGGAGCGAGTATTAATATCCATATTCTTGCAGAACTCAACTAAACGGTATAATCGTAATTACAAAAGAACCAATCCGAATATGCAGGAGCATCATGTGCGGATGACCCTCTCCCAATCTTGATAAATTTTCATGTTTCTCGAGTGTTCTATTGGTTTTTTTCTGCTAATCAATTTCTAAAAAAAACTTCTGATCAAGCTTCTGAGTCATCACTCCCTCCACTCCTCGCACCAATTCTAGCGACCGCAGGACGTCCCTGTGCGCATGCATACAACCAATAACCAATGAATATTATCTTCTACTAATACAATGAAGACAAAAAAATATTAATCACAAATTGACTATATAAACTTCTATGATTACCACGCTCAATTGATACAATAGTTATCTGATCTTTTTCACTAATATATACATATATAAAGGACTAACGACAGTTAATCAATTGACATATCGATGTTTTCTGCTTGTCTTTTTTAGTACCATAGTCAAACTAATTATATCTCTCAAGACAAAACTTATTAAAAACAAATGTATAGATGGATGATACGTCAATCGAACTCGATTAAATTTCCCATGTTCATTCAATTGATCATTAATCATGCATCCGTATCAAATACGATGATAAGATAACAATCAGTAATATGAACACACCCCTTCTCATCTATGTTGGATATCTGATAAAGAGAGATAATAAATGATTAATATTATAAAATGATTAATCATATTCTCTCATGTTTTAAACAAAAGAAATATAAACTTACTTCAACAAAAACAAGAACAAAAGAAAGTATACCAACAATCATTAAGTTTCGATTAATTTCAATCTGAATCATATTAAAACAACCCTACATAAGAAAGAAAAAAAAAAAAAGCTTCATAAACTATTTCAAATCGTATTGTTTTATTTCAAACATACCTCTGTATAAATCAATCCATTAGTTACATTAGCAGTTATTTGTTTTCCACAATCAAGTTTTTCTTCAATACAACATGTATCAGGAACATAAGTCTGTCCCGACCAAATATCAGTATTAAACCAATCACGATATTCATCAATACCACAACAATGAAGCTAAAAACAAACGAAATTTTAAATTAAATAATTTTTATTTATTTTTCGAATTTTACTCTTCTTTGAATTGGATCCATTTTTTTACGAAAAGTATTTTCTTCATATGGATATTGACGAATATTATCCAATAAGTCTTTTCGAGCAGATATTGCTACCTTTATGAGAAAAAAAAAATTAAACAATTAAATTACAAAATAAAAACTAAAATTTCAACTTACTTGTTCATTTAAAGCGATAACAAATACGACACCAACTAATAATCCAGCGAAAATTAAAACCATCGTTATAATATACTAATAGACAGTTAAAAAAAACAAATATCAAATTTTCAAGAAAAAAAAAAATTTTTGTTTTTTCATTACAATAAAAAGCAAAGGTTTTTTCTCAAACCAAGCACCAAGACATCCAATAAGACCAAGTAACATTGAAAATTTCGCTAAAAACAAATAAAACAAACATCAATTCAATCAATGAATACTGAATCAAGGTTATTAATTAATCTAAAAACCTGAGATAATCAATACAACAGGTGCAGTAAACCATTGATTTCCCATTAAAGGACCATAGTCAGAAGATTTTAAATGTAACAACCAACTACATATAACAATTGCAACAGCCAAGGCCTGTTTGAAAAACTTTTTATTTATAATTTTAAAAAAAAAACTGAAATTTAAACTCACAAAAAAACACATATTTATTATTGAAAAAACATATCGGAAGAGCATATAATTCGATGACATTTTTCGCAAAGGAAATGTTCAATAAATGAACTTGCAAAAAGTTATAGAGATTTTTTTTTCTTGCTGCCTTGTACAAACATTTTTCACCATTGAATAAAAATTATATGTTGCCTCTTTAAAAGTGAAGAGGGCGCTCCATACCAATCTATTGGAGATATTTGTACAACATATAACTTTATATTTTTCGAAGAAAGAAACAATCATTGCTTCTTCCTTCACAACCTCCGTTCAATTGAATTCTTAGGTTACGCGATCAAGTAAACACTTCTCCAACTTTTTCATTGTATTTCTATTCAATGTTCATCTGCCATCAAATAACTTGAAATAGATTGAATCATCGAATGAAGAGCCGTTCTGGAATTCAATCACATATGTCATTTGAATGTAGTAAGAAAAGAATATAATAAAGACTGAACCAAAGAATATACAAAGTAATATCAATTTCGATTTTGATCTAAGAAATCAAATGATGTAATTTGTTTTGAGAATCGAAGCATTTTCCATATCAAAACAAATATTTAAGTTTGAAGGCTCAATGTGAATTGATTTAAGGGCACCTTTCTTTTCCGACTCCAAAAATTCACTTTTTTCGATTTCGGCTTTTTTGTAACTACGAAGATATTCAAGAGTCTTCTAGCGAATGGCATATGGATGAAAAAATCCGACTTTAGATGTCTCCTACACTAAAAATCACGTTCTACAGCTCTGTCGTGTTGTAAATGATCTATACTAATGTAGTTATTTCATCACCAAAATGTATTGTATGGGTCAGTACTACATCCTTCTAGTCACTTTGCAACTGCACTAATTGATAACTATGAATAAAAAAAAATGTCGTTTTACATTATTTTGCGTTCTTCTCAAAATCAACTTTTTTAGAAAAAAAAAACTGAAGTTTCCCCCTTTTTCTCTCAGACGCTTCGACTGATTGAGCTGAAATTTTTTGTGTGGTAACTAGGACTAAATCAGGGTGTATATGTTTTTTATTTTCTTGAAATAATGATCTGGTGGTCTTTGGTAAATGTTACAAAATTTGCCCTAGGGAGAAAAAACACGTTTTTTGACAAGGTTTCCAGTATTTCAGTTCTCCTAAGTGGAGGAAGCAATATTTTTCAAAAAAAACAAACTAGGATGTGGATGTGGGCGTTAGTATAAACCAGGCACACTCACATCTACACCTACCACATCCACACTCTTGCAACATAATTTCATACATTGTGTCGTACTTTATTTTGGTTTAACGATGTCTCGAAGTTTTCCTCTTCTTGTTCCTCTCTTGCCGTAAATAGATTTGTACATATAAACAGATTAGTACACTTTGTTGTTTGAAAATGCATGATGAATTCCTATTTCAGCGAATTTTTTTCTTCCTGCCTGTTACAGACATTGCCTTCACAGTATGTTTTTCTTTTTCCCTGGATGTGATATCTTCGATCATATATCATCATTTCTTTCTTTTCGTAAAAACCTTCGATGCGTGTGATCATATATCAAAGCGCGTTTTTCCTTTTCTTTTTTGGTTCATTATGTAGCTTAATTGTTATGTGTGTGTGAGAACATTTTTGATTTAGTAAAAATAAAAGGAAAAGGTCAACCATCTTTTTCTCCCTAACACTGTTTAATTAAGAATTCAGTATCATACGAAGCCGAGAAAGTATAAGGTCGTTTTTGTTAAGAATTGCTTCTTTCTAAATTGAAAAATCAATCAATTCTAACATAAGATCCAAAAAATAATTTTTGCATCCATGTTCTAACTATTCTTAAGAAAAATCTAAATGGAATTATTATCAATAATTGGTTTTAAAAACAAGGCATAATGTTTATAGTACTTTTATGGTTAGTTGATTACGTTGTTGTAATTTATATCGAGTTTCAAAATTAGTTCATTATGTATATTCACTCCTAGACCTAAACTGGACTCATCGTTTATGAGATTATAATATTTTCCAATTAAAGATATGGATGTTGGCAGCAACATTCGATCTAATCATCGTTGTTGCTGACATTCGTTTTCATTATTTCGAAATAAAACAGAGTTCTAACTTCAAAATCATCATTTTGTGGAGCGAATTGAGGACGAACAGAACCTCATATCGAAATTTCAGAAAAAAATTGATTATATAGGAACATGGAACTTTGTAATGACGTTTAAACGAATATCGTACGACTCTCTATGTGTTGAGAATGTTAAAAAGCTCGCAAGTGATTACGATACAGTGCTTGGCAGTGTAATAATAATTTTGTAACAAAATAAAGATAAGCATTCAATACACATAAATATTGTATAACTAAAATGATAGTCTGTTCTAGTCAGAATCTTTTTTTCAAAAAAGAACTATAATAATACGGTACAAGGATTTTTAGTATTTCCAATATGCAAGGTTCAATCGATAAAATCAAGTCTGAGACAAAAAGCCTTGTAAATGATATACAGTGAAGAAAATTGGTACTATTAAGTCGTCGTTTGGTAGCAAAAAAAATAGGATCCGCACGACTGAATGACGGAGATGCCGTTTTATGGCGTTTTATAAATGCTTCCCTACAATGGAAATGATAGCCATAGAAAGATTTCATTAGTTTCATGGATGAGTATTTTCATCAGTTCGTTTTTTTTTGCTAATTGAAATAGAATGACCCATAAAAATAGTTTATTGGCCACCAACAATATTCGATGCAATAAATATATTTATTCCAATTATAAACTCAATGTTTTAAACTAAAATACAATTTACACTACTTCTGTCGTTAGAAGATGCAACACATCATTTTTACACATGTCTATTAAAATTAAATAATTCATGGATATTGGAATGTAGAATCAATCATGATAAAGTGTATTGGATTATTTGATGAACAAATAGAATAAAAAATCGATAGAGGTCATATTTAATATTCTGAATATTTAACTTATTGACAATTGGTTATATATTTATGTCTCACGTCAACATATACTTGCAAAAAACACGGTTTTTCTTATTATTTTTTTAGAACTATGTCAAAAACAATGATTGATGAAATTGCATCTTTAAATAATTTAATAACAGAAACAGATAGTATAACTAAAGAATCTGTGGCTAAGAATGAAGATGAAGAAACTTGGCTATATGGACGTATGAAAAATGAATATAAATTTATATTTAAATAATTATATTTTACTTTGTTTATTAATTATAGATAATAAATCAAAAAGTAATGAAAATGTGTAAGTTTAAAAATAATAATTTTATTTATATTGATTAAATTTTTTTTCTTCTTCATAGAGATAATACAACCGCACCATCCATTGATGAAATAACAACACAAGAAATCAATGCAAGAGTATGTGAGAATTTATGTTATAGTTACAATGAGAAATGTAGAATTAATTCAAGTTAAAATTTATATAAAAATATTTTGCACTTAAACTTTAGATAGTTAAACATCGTATTTTAGTTATATATTTGTTTTTAGGAAAAAGCAACACTAAAATTAACAACAACATCATTAATTGGTAGCCAATTAGATGATGATGATTCAGATGATGATGATGATGATGATGATGGAATTCAAGTGACTATTGGTGATTATGAACCAGAAGTATCAACTTTTCAAACAAATCGACAAAAACCTCGAGGAATGTTATCAGGTAGATAAAAATTTATCTTTTTATATCTATTATTGATTAGTTTAATATTATTAATGATTTTCTAGGAGGTCCGGCTGCTATGCCACCAAAATCGTCAATAACACGAGGTGTAGATGTCGATGCACAAGGTGTTATTAATGGACAACCAACATATGAACATGATATAGTGAATGCATATAAAGATGAAGAAAAACCATGGAAAAAACCAGGTTTGATATATTATTTTGATAAAAACAATTGTTCTTTGAAATATTTAAAAAATCTCGAAAAATGTTTTATCATTTATATGAAATCTAACAGATAATGCAAAAATTTCAGAACAAAATATTTTTTCATTTATCGACTAATTATGGGAAGTCAGTAGAAATATTTCAATCTTTTGTGCTCTTTCCGCATATATGTTCAAAATTTTTCTGTGAAACTCATCGGTCTAGATAAAACTAGTTGAACTAATAATTAGGATAGTAATTAATAGGTAAATGAAGAAATGTTTTGTCCAGAAGCTTCCGTACCATCTGTTCCTCTTGGTTGTTCTTTTTATTTATACTACGTCATTTAATATGTCTCTTTGTCACATGATTTTCTCATCTTATCATATCATAGTTTAAGTTTAAGTAAGACAAATATCATCCTGTGTACATTTCATTCAAAACAAAAAAATAAGAGTTCATTTTTCAAATATCTAGATTTGAATAAATAATTTTCTACTTGAATAATAATTTTAGGAGCAGATATTACTGAATATTTTAATTATGGTTTTACTGAAGAAACATGGGTACAATATTGTGATCGACAACGACGTTTACGTAATGAAAATAATTTAGCGCGTCTTAATCCTACTCACGTAAAATTTATTAATTATTAATTATCCTTTTTTTTTTTTTTTATTCAAAATTTTCTTTTTCTAGATTCCACCAATGCTTTCAGGTCATCCTCCAATTGCTCATCCAATAAATTCTCATCCAGTAATGATGATAAACAAACCGATGAATATGCCAATGATATCACGTCCTCTAAATACACGAAAACCTGATGGGAAAATAGATGTTATCGGTAATATAAATAACTATCATATATTAACCGATAAGTTTTTTATTTCAAGGTGCAACTGATTATACATCTCGTCGATCAATGTTTGAAACATCAAATAACTTTGAACATCCACCATTTTTAAATGGTTTTCCATTGTAACTTTTGAATATTCTCTTATTCAAATTTCCATTAATTTTCTTTCTCGCTTTTAGTCTTGGTGGTCAACCACCCGGTGGACAAACAGTAGGTGATCTCATGCCAACACCATCAGCTTCCAATGGTCCTCCACCATCAGGTAATACTCATCATATACCAACCTTGAATATGCCACGATTACCTATGATACCCTTACCACCTGGCATTCAATTTCGAGCTCAATTTGGACATTTGCATGTACCCGGTGGTCCACAATTCTTGCCTCGTGGACCAGCTACAGGAATGCATGGTGATAGGTACACTTTGCTTTTATTCTTTCTTTTTTCTCTTCTTCATAATGCATCTCTAACAAATATTAATTTAGACTTCCACATCCATATTTTATACGTCATACTGCTCCACAACCATGGGATAAGTTAGTATTTTATTTAATTAATTTGGTTGATTTATTCTATTCTATAGAGCTGGTATGCCACCTGTACATAATTTTCCATCTGGACCATTTTCACCACAAATTACTATATCAACAACTAGTAATAATGGACGAGTAGCACCACCTAGTCGAAGTCCAACACCTGAAAATCGTTCATCACATAGTTCAACATCAGAAGAAAATCGAACTAATGTTGGTGATAATGATAAATCATCAAAAGATGAGCGATATAAAGAAAGATATAGGTATAAGACGTTTATTTTGAAATATAAATTAATAAAAAACATGTTTTTTGTTTTTGTTTTATTTAAAGAGATGATCGTGATTATCATTCATCTTCTCGGCATCGTTCATCATCATCATCTTATCATTCACGACATCGACCAAATGAACATGAATATGAACGACCAAAAAATGATAGAAAATCAAGAGATCGAGATGATAAATATGACTATCATTCACGAAAGTAAAATTTTTTTGTTTTCTTTTATCAAAATTATTTTGATGTTTTATTTTTATTTAAGACGACAACATAGAGAAGATAATACTCGTCATCATTATGTTGATGATGAATCATCTCGTAATTATCGTTCATCACATCGTACACCAACAAAAACTGTATCTTCACCATCAAAAATCAATTCATCTATTTCATCAACATCAATTGAATCATCTCAAATATTAAATGAACAAACATCTGAATCTGATCAAATAACATCATCATCATCATCACATTATAATCATCATAAAAAATCTTCTAAACGTTCTCGACATGATAGTAATGATGATGATGATGATGATGAACGACATAATAGTCATCATCGTCGACGATCAAAAGATAAATCAAAAAGTAACAGTAAAAAATCGACTAATCAAATTGAATCTTTATCCGATGTAAAAGAACAAAATAATGAATAATTATAGTTTTTTTATTATGTATATTTATTTGTTTGGTTTATTTCAATTATTGTTTATGTTTGTCTTTGTATTCTCTGAAAGAATTCAGAGAAAAAATGATTAAATAATTACGATTATTGTAGATTTTTATTTGATAATAACAAATGGCTAGTCCACGTACTCGATCGGTTCTGAAAGATCTCAAATTAAAAGATGATAATAATGTTTGTTTTGAATGTGGAGCATTAAATCCTCAATGGGTTTCGGTTTCATATGGTAAGAGCGATTTTGTTTTTTTGCGTTTTAATTCAAATAATCATGTTACGTTGATGATATCAATTTACTGAGTCAGGTGAGATTTTTTCATGGTACGTGTAGTCTCGTTATTCGATCTATTAGCCTCCGTTGTTAGTCTAAGAATAATAAGGAATTCGGAAGTTTTTGTTGTGTATAATTTCTCTATTGATAATCATTAGTCTAAAATTCATGAATACAGTTTAAATCTTTTGTTTTTGAACATTTCTGAAAAAACTATTCTAGAAGTTATTCGTATTACATCTAAAATAATTCTTCAATATTTGTTTTTTTTATTTATTTAGTCGACGACTAGCACCTTTTAGGTCATCTGCCTTGTATGATTTACTTAAAACTATAAGATATTTTACTATGAGCTCGAATTCCGGTTCCGCACATCCCTTGATCATATCCTTAGGCCTTACTCTTCTAGTTATGGCCAATTGTACTGAACTTTCGACATAGTACAGAATATTGCGAAAAAAAAAACTATAATAGAGAGTTTTCGTTTGAAAATTTCCTCAATAGCAGATCTCATGATATTTATTATATCCTGGGAAAGGTTCATAGTTCAAACGAATGAATTTTCCTTGAGCCACGAAATATTTAAAAAATAGACTCTTGTGGGAACTTTTGTAAGAAAGCAAATTTTTTATAAATATGTGATTTCACAGAGAAAGATTACATTTAAGCTGAAACTTTCAGAATAAAATAAGTACCCATTATTTGAGAAAATTTCAGATGGAAACTAATTATTACGTGTTTTTTTTGTCGTAGCATCCTATACTATGCTGAAAATTTAGTAAAATGACTATATTTCAAGAAGAAAGAGCTCTTTGAAGATTTTTATCTAAATTATGAACTCAAACAGAGAAATTTCAGTTCAAGAGATTCTCTCGTGAAACTTTCACAACACTCTGTATTTGATAGTGTTTAATTTTAAGGAAAATAATCAGTAACAAATACTACGAAAGTATAACAACAAAGATGAATCTGCATTTTTCACATACCATGATAGATGAATATTAATCGATTGAGATGATCATACGTATGACATAATAGCATATGTTAGTAAACTCTTCTTGTTTATAATAAAAGCCGATTCATTTTGTTATCCTAATAAATTATCATATTATATTTCATATATATATATATATAGGTATTTTTATATGTCTTGAATGTTCCGGTAAACATCGTGGATTAGGCGTACATTTATCATTTGTACGTTCAATAACAATGGATAAATGGAAAGATGTTGAATTAGAAAAAATGAAAGCAGGTGGAAATCGTAAAGCAAAAGAATTTTTTGCTACTCAATCAGATTATAATGCTAATACAATGAGTTTACAACAACGATATAATACACGAGCGGCTGCACTTTATCGAGATAAAATATCAACAGAAGCCCAAGGTAAAACATGGTCAATAAATTCTTCATCAGCACAAAATTATAGTTCACCTTATACATCATCTTCATCAATAAATTATACTGAAAAACCATCGAAAGTAAATGAATTTGACGAAAAAAAAAGAAAAAACTTAAACTTGTTTTTCATTTTTTAAATCTATTAGCAAACTTCATCGGATTGGGGACAATTTAAATCATCCGAACAGCGAAATGAAGATTATAGTAGTAGCGGTGGTTATCAAAATAGTGGTTCAAATGACCAACAACATCAATCTGGTCTTGGTAGTGGTAATCCAAAATATTGGGGTTTTGGAAATACAACTTATGATGAATCATCACAACGTCCAGCATCAAATCCTGATTTACTTTCATCATCAATTTCAAATATGAGTGTTAATGCAGCTAAATGGGCTGGTGTTGCTAAAGATTCTGTTTTTAAATTTTCAAAAACAGCTGCTGACAAAGCAACAGAATTAACATCAAAAGTAACTGAACAAGCTAAAGATGGTTCATTATTAACAAATGTTCAATCAGGTGTAACTAATATTGCATCATCAATGGGTAAAATTGGTACAAAAACATGGTCGGATATGCAATCATTATGGTCAGGAAAAGATTATCATTCAGATCATAGAGAAGATCAACGATTACATAATAATCAGAATTATTCAGATGTTGTAAGTCAAATATTCTTTTTCAATCAATATCATTCGACTAAATTCTTATGAGATACAAAAAAAAAAATTCTAAAACAATTCAAATTCGTAATTTTTCAATGAATCACAAAAATGATTTAAGACAAAGATTATTAAAAATGTTTTGAAATATTTAAGTCGAGTGAAATTTTAAAAATTGTTTCTGAAAATCAAGACTATTAAAGTTCGTCTTCATTGCACTGTCATATTTACAAGTAGTGATCTTAGAATAGTCTAAATAGATGTGTTCTTCTTGAGATATTCAATATTGAAAAACAATTATGTATCACACGGAAAGCTAAGAAAGTTCAGTGTTTTCAATATTCGATGTTTCAGCAACAACACATTTCCTTAAACTGAAATTTGTCAGAAAATTTTAAGGTTTACGAGATCTATCTATGAGCAAAAGTGCAGTTCGATTGATGAGTCACATTCGAAGATCTTTCCTCGTTAACTAACATATGAATTTAAATAGTGCGTAAAACTAAAAACCTACCTATAAATTATCAAAGGTATAAAGAGAAAAAAATATTTTATTTTCTAGAATGAGTGGTCTTCTTCATATCAAAATCCATCATCTTCGTCAACATATAATGATAATTCTGGTTATCAAAATACTTTTAATAGTTTACCAAATCGTCAACATCAACAACAACAACAACAACAACAGTCACAATCAAATAATGATGTTTCAAAACCAGAACGTGATCTTAGTTTTGAATCATGGTTAAATGATGAACCACGTTCAAAATCATCGACTAGTTCAAATCGACCAACATCTTCGAAAAAGACAGGAAATACAAGTGTATCTGCTTCATCAAAATCTAAAGCAACACCAGCACCTAATTTAATTAATTTTGATGATGAGAAATGGGCGAATGATGATGATGCTGCATGGGAATCGATTGATACTTCAAAATAAAATTCGTTTTTTTTTGTTCTCTTTTTTTCCAACAACAAAAAAATAATAGAAAGAAATTTTAGTTTATTTATTCTTTTTGTTTTTATTGGTGTGTGTGTTGTTTGTGCGTATTACATAAACAGTTTATCTTTTTTTTTTTTCTTTCTATTTATTAATTATTCCTATTCCTCAGGAGAATGTGAAGAGTGTATGAGACCGATTAATTCTTCATTTCCTATTGAAAAGTTATTCAATTTTACTCAATCCATTTTGTTTATTTTGTTTTTTTCTTTCGACTATATTTGTGGCAATTCCAAAATCTACAAACTCATTGTTGTGTTATGATCTATAAATATATATAAATTTCTTATCACATCTATAATCAGCGTTGACAAGAACAAATGAAAGATGCTTATCTTTATTTCCACGCAATACTTATTCATGTTATACGATTTACTCCCATTGAACGGATAGTGTTCTGCTTCAATAAGTTTCATATTATCCGATAAGAATACGCCCACATTAAGATATATATATATATCTCACCGACTTTATGACCTATCCTATTATTTGTTAAAAGGTAAGTTTTGAGATCAAATATATAAGCTTATTACGTTCTTGCTTTATTAGCATTGTGACTAATTTGTAGTGATGGTAACAGCTGCAAAAAATTACAAAAAAAGGAAATTGAAAAAAATCTTATGTCAATACATCTATTTCTGAATAGAAGAAACAATATCATTTCAATAGGGTGTGTCTAATATGAGTAATTAATAAAATATGTTTGTCTTTTTTCTAAATTATATGACGTAAATTTTCGTTTATAAAAATAAACTATCTTGTGACAGGTCTTATTCATGACATCTTTCTATTAAGACGAAAATGGATGCTGCAATATCATGAATCATGGTTAATAAAGGCCTACGCACAGCGATTTACTATATGTATTAAATAAATATTCATTACAGTGCTAGAGAAGTGTTCTTATTGGACTGAAAGAAAAAGAAAGTTATATATACATATATATATATAATACAGCTGCAATGTACGGAGGGCAAACTTTTTCCTCGTTATATATATATATCGACTATGCATTTAACAATATATACATATGATACCATTCTTTAGATATTTTCAAGGTCATTTTCTAAAATGACGTCAGTTTATACTTTGTATCTGTTTCATTTTTGAAATAATTCCAATCACAAGGACTTAAGTTGGTAACAGGTGGTCTTTGAAAGATAGAAAAAAGAAAAGTAAATGAATACTTCTGACTCAAATGTCGCATAACTTTTTATAGTTCTATCACATTCTATGAATGAATCTATAATATAAAAAATCGATATACATATATATTTCAATTAATAACTTTATTTTTTGTATTTAAGAATAAAAGAAAAATGTCTTGTCCATATGCACGATTTGTCGAACCTGAAGATGAAACAACAACGACACCATCACCACCAACAACAGCAACATCAAAATTAACAATAAATGGTGCTACTGATAATAATGCACTTGCAGAAATTTTATCATTAACTGGTTATGGTACACCAAGTTCAGCTAAACCTGAACTTAAACGTTTACCATCAAGTGATGAATTAGTTACATATAGAAATTATTTACAATTAAATGTTTTACTTAATTCACAAGTTTTATTAAGTGCACAACATGATCAAAATAAAAATCCTGTTCATGATGAACATTTATTTATGATAATTCA